ATCTCACTCCAGTCAGAATGGCAGCTATCAAGAATACAAAAAAAAAAAAAAAGAATACAAACAACAATAAGCATCGGCCAGGCTGTGGAGAGAAAGGTACACTCAAACATTGCTGGTGGGACTGCAAATTGGTACAGCCAATATGGAAAGCAGTATGGAGATTGCTTGAAAAACTTAGAATGAAACCACCAGCTATCCCACTCCTTGGTTTATACCCAAAGGACTTAAAAACAGCATACTACAGGGACACAGCCACCTCAATGTTTATAGCAGCACAATTCACAACAGCTAAATTGCAGAACCAACCCAGATGCTCTTCAGTAGATGAATGGATAAGGAAACTGTGGTATATATACACAATGGCACATTATTCAGCATTAAAAAAGAATAAAATCATGGCATTTTCAGGCAAATGGATGAAGTTGGAGAATACAACGCTAAGTGAAGTAAGCCAATCCCCCCAAATCAAAGGCTGAATATTTTCTTTTGCTATGAGGATGCTGACTCATAATGGCGATGCAGTGTGTGTGTGTGTGGGGGGGGGGGGGCGGGGGACAGCATGGGAGGAATGGAGGAATTTTAGATACAGCAAAGGGGAGGGAAGGGAAGAGAGGGGGCAAGGGGGTAGGAATGATGGTGGAATGAGTTAGACATCATTACCCTAAGTATATGTATAAGACACAAATGGTGTGAAAATACTTTTGTGTAAAATCAATGACTGTACAATTGTGCTCTATATGTGTAATATGAAATGAATTGCATTCTGCCATCATGTATAGCAAATTAGAATAAATAAATAATCTAATTAAAAAAATTTTAAAAAAGATGACACAACACATTAATTTTTGGAAAAAGAATACCATGACTCATATTCCATGTAAATACAGCTCATTGTTAACTCATATAATTCTCTACTCCAGAAGTCAGCAAAGTTCTTCTGCAAAAGGACAGAATGCAAAAGGGTAGAAAGTAAATACTTCAGGTTTATAGGCCACATTTGGTCTCTGCTGCAATTACTGAACTCAGTTATTATAGCTCAAAAGCTGTCATACATAAATGAATAAACATGGCTATGTTTGTAAAATTTCTTGCAAACATTGAAATTTAAGTTTCATATAATTTTCAGGTGTCACAAAATATTCTTGTGATACATTTAAAAATGTTCCAACCATTCTCTGCTCATGGGTCATATAGAAACAGGAGTCATATAGAAACAGTAGTTTGCCAACTTCTACTGCAGGGAAAGTAAATACTATAGGGGAATAAAAACAAAAGTACAACACACATTAGATAAGTGGAGAAAATATTATTGCAAAAATGTTTTTAAAATATATTTATTGTACTATGTAACCAGTGTAAAATAATGTGTCACTACCTAAAAGTGCTCTAGGTGAGAATATCATTAAAAGCATTAAGGGTCATCCTCAGGAGACTACAGGGTCCAGGATTAACGAAATCACAGTAAGATCTGTGTTACTCTTTTTCATCTCTCATGTAGATGATGCATAGGGTCAATCAGTTGGAGATGAGGGAAGAGAAAACAAGGATCCTCTTTATAATAGGGTATGCTTTGCTCTGACCAAAGCTCAAGTTTTCTTTATGAAACATTTAAATTTCTCCCCATGCCCAAGGTTACCAAAATCATTGCCTGCCTATGCAGAACTGGTTACAACAACAGATAGAGCCACTCAAAGCCTAGCGCCTCAAGCAACTACCCAATTCACTACACTAAGGAATGGTGATGACATAGACTTTACAGAAAGGGAAATAAGATGTGTTCAAGTCACAGAGAAAATTTTTTCTCTTCTTAATGAGCTTCCTATTTAACTATGGCTACTCAATTCTTTCTTAATATTCAGTACATGAGTATTTTTATTCAACATTTCACTCTCAAATTCATCAGCTCTCTACTCATTTCAAAACAGCTTAATTTTAGGGCTTCATATAGTCTATGCTTCATGATTATTTTTGAACAGTTCTAAAACTAAAACTTACAAATTTAGATCTCATGGGTATCCTAGGATACGAGATGTGTGAAGTCATGACAAAACAAAGTTGAAATATGAGCTGCTGGCTACAGTCCAGCCATCTGATAGAAATTCAAACTATAAAAAAACTTACAGACTCACTATTCTTTATTTCAACTCATAAGAATAATATACTTTACTTCTGCTGCATCAACATTTGTGGGAATTCCAGTTCATAGGCAAATGAAAAGGAAGCCAATTTCTCATTGAATTTCATTTTAATATATTAGAATTTCTCCTCATGATTATAATTATTATTCTGACTTTTTATGTAAAAGAAAAATGTACTTGGCATCTTGGATACTTAGCAACTATTTTGCTTATGTAATAATAGGTCTTTCAACAATTACAAAATGGGGTGGGGGATGTAGTTTAGTGTAGAGAACTTGCCAAGCACAGGCCCTGGGTTTAATTGCTAACACCACAAAAACAAACAAAACCCCTAAATGTCAAAATATATGAAAGCCATCATAATACACAATGATTTCTAAAAGGATAAAAATAATATTCCTCAAACAATAAATTAACTTTAGTGGACTATCTAAAAAGTCTTGTTTCATTTTCATTGTCTCAACAGAAACAAAATACACTCATCTTTAAAAGTTACTGATACAAATGAGATTTTACCTGAACAGTTTATTTTTATAGGAACAAAAATATTTTACTATCATAAAAATCAGGAAATATCTTCCAATCCTCTTCTCTCTACTTTACTCTCTTCCATATTTCACAAAACAAGGTCCTGAATCAAATTTAAAGGAATATAAGCCTAAAGTTTAATGTTTATTTTAAAAGACTGGTTACTCTATGACAGCAGGAATTAATTACTGCATCCCTGAATCCATAGCAGATTCAATAACCAACAATTGCAGAATTATTTATTTTATTAAAAAAAAATGTTTATACATTTTTTGAGGTGAGGTACTGTGGATTGAAATCGGGAGCACTCAACCATTGAGCCACATCCCTGGCCCTATTTTGTATTTTATTTAGAAACAGGGTCTCACTGAGTTGCTTAACACCTCGCTTTTGCTAAGGCTGGCTTTGAACTCACAATTCTCCTGCCTCAGCCTCCCAAGCCACTGGAATTACAGTCATGCGCCACTGTGCCTGGCAACATTTGCAGAATTAATAAATGTGAAGTCTGTTAGGAAAAAAAAAAAAAAAGAAGCACACAAAGAATAATAAAATACTTTCTTCTAGTGTCAACATCCAGAGATTTTTCATTTTGGTAGCTTCCTTTTCAGGTGCTTTCTACCTGAGTGAAATACAAAGGGCAGAGGAAATATTCAACAACATCATAAGGATACAATCAGTAAAATCCAGACTATGGGAAATTCTATAATACAAATGACCTCCATTCTTTCACTTCAATCATGAAGTCTTTATAGTGACTTTTCCAAAGTATTCTTACAAAGACAGTATTCTACAGTTTCTGATCTGTTATCTAAGCAGTAAGCAGGTGACCTCATAAAGATTTCCTTCAATGCTGGAGCCAAAAAGAATGGAAAACAAAACAAAATCTCAGCCAGTATTTGCAGATTGGCTCTTAGCTTAGGTTTAACATTTAGTCAAGCTACCTACAACTCTTGACTTGAATTTTACCTCATCTTTGCATTGAGTCCAAAGATCAGTAAAAGACACAAGCCCACTTAAATCTTTTTCAGTCACTTCTGTCCCACAGCATACATGCTGTACTCCAGATTCTTCAGTGTATGTGATGACCCTTCAAAAGGTCATCCTTCCCAGGTTGTATAGTCTGTATGTTGCTTGGCCTGGGTGGCAATGGGCAGTATACTGCATATCTTTAATTTTTTTTTTTTTTTTTGGTAGATGACACAGAGGAAGCCACTTAACTCCTGGATGGATGAAAGAAAGGACAAGCTTTTGTGCTAGTTAGTAGCTCAGTGAACTTCTGGACAAGTGTCAAATGTACACTCAAAACTTTTTGAGAACAAGTTGTATTGCTCACCTCCCTCCCTCCCAAATGTTAAGCCACACTAGGAACATAGCTGCTGTTCCTATGGCTGCTGCTGACCTGGGAAACAGGGATGGGAGGCAAAATTGCCACAAAGCTTTGTCACTAAAATTTAGTAGGCTTTTTCCTCAGTGAGTTCTCCCCTGGTTATGAGCTGATTAGTTGGCAGAATTTTTTAAAAGTTGATTCTTATCTCTTTTCCAGCTTAATGGTTACTTCAATAGAAAGTCTGTATCCTGGTGCTCCCTACTTGATCCTTTTTCCTAAAGTATCTCCCAGATACATTCTTAAATTATTATATTTAACTTGAAGCTATTTCTTTCCACACACCTTGTTTGTTCAGATTGTTTTCTCTAAATAAGCCATTCTCTTTTTTAAAAATTTTTAGTTGTAGATGGATACGATACCTTTATTTTATTTATTCATTTTTATGTGACGCTGAGGATTGAACCCAGTGCCTCACAAGAGTTCTACCAGTGAGAATCCAGTGCTTGGCAAGAGTTCTATCACTGAACTACAACCCCAACCCCCTTTCCCCCTATTCTTTACTTGTCTTTTATTCAAACCTACAAAATTTCTCTAAAGAGCATCCTCCAAATTTCCACATTGAGCTAAGTGGTTCTTCTTTCCACTCCAGGACATCTGCATAATATTCTTCTACAAATTCCTAAAATCACCTATTACTGTGTTTATCTCCCTTGCTAAAAAAATAAGTCAATAGCAGTTACATGTATATTGCATTGACCTTGGGGACATTCTCATTATAGGTAATGAATGAGACAGAGAGGCACAGTCTCCTTAGCCCCTACTCCTTGCCACACTGAACTGCAGGCTCCCCTCTTTTGTACTACTAAAGTCCAGTACAACACCTGACATGCAATAACTATACAGTGAATATAATAATGTCACGGACCTATAAAATTTATGCACCACAAATGTAAAATAGCCTATAACAAAATAAGTATCACAATCTGATTTTTCACTTTAGCACCTACGTTCTGGTTGTTTTTCATTGGGTGTTATGGATCGCACAAAATCTTGTGGAGTCATAAACACTTCTACTTCACCAGGCTCATTGATTACTTTCAAGGTGGCAAAGTATCGGAAGATTTTGTCTGGTGTGGAGTAGGCTCGGATCCTATTCTCATATTCCATCACCTAAAATTAGAAATTTAAAGAATGTTACTATATTTAAGCAATGTTCATATACTCCCATCTTTAATGCTCATTAATTTTCATATATATGTCTCATCTTATTTTTGGAGAAATTTATGTTACCACTCTTTCTATAATGAGGTTTTTTTTATGTTACAAAGAAGCCTGACTTAAAATTTAAAAAATTTCTTTCTTGTAACATACCATTTATAACTCAGTTGAAGCAATGTTCATGTAACTTTTGTTTAGACGCCTTTTTTTTAAAGAATTGTCTAGTTTCTTAAATAACTGAAAGCTAGCAAAATTTAAAAACACCATAAAAGAATCCAAAAGGTCTTAATAACATGGTGCAATGTCATATACATAGTAGCCTACAGGTTCTTAAATACCAAGTTTTTGAAGAAAGGGACTGACTTTACTCTTCTCACTTTTATGAGAGGAAATTTCCTCAATCCTAAAAGAAAACAGACTTGAGATTTCATGACTGTAAATAGTTATCAGGCCTTTAAAAACAAAGTACATTAAATGATGGCACAGAAAAATGAAATTACATACCATGGAAACTCAAATTTTAATAGGTCTGAAGCAACAGATTTTTACTTTTTTTTTTTTTGTACCGGGGATTGAACTCAGTCAGAGGTATCTGACCAACATGTACTGAGCAACATTCCCAGCTTTATTTTTTGTATTTTATTGAGAGACAGGGTCTCATTTAGTTGCTTAGCACCTTGCCTTTGCTGAGGCTGACTTTGAATTGCAATTTTCCTGCCTCAGCCTCCCAAGCCACTGGGATTATAGGTGCATGCCACTGTGCTGGCAAATTTTTACTTTTCACTACAGGATTAAGCAAACTACCAAACTACTGTATGATCTTTTACATATAGCATTATTTACAAAGGGTTAGAGTTGGTAATGCACATAAGCAAATGTTTGACAACAAAATCATGTATGTTGGGCCTGGGGTTATAGCTCAGTGTAGAGCATTTGCCTAGCCAGTGTTGGATCCTCAGCACCACATAAAAATAAATAACTAAATAAAATTAAGGTATTGTGCCCATCTACAATTTTTTTAAATTAAGTATGTCATACATTAATTAACAGTGCAACATATTAATATTGTATCTCATTCCCTTATCTGGCATATAAGCTCCTATGCTAAGCATAGAACATATAAAATATTATTCTCAACCATATATACTACTTTGATGAAGACATTTATCTTATCTTTAATTTTGAATGTTGAGGTAGCCAAAAATAAATACTATATTATAAATGGGTACAAAATGTATTAAAGCAATAAAACCTAAACCCATCAATTCATTAATGTTAAGAAAAACATTCATGTTTGCAATTTGTCACATTAACATAGCAATTCCTGTACAGATCAGCCCTGACTAGATGTCACTTTGGGGTCATTGGTAGTAACTGTTTAACAATGGTTTCAATATCACTACCAGATGTGCTTTTAGCAATTAAGAAAAGACTGCTAATTTATAACTACATGACAAAAATTCAATGCTAACTTGAATTAAAATCTGAATAGATTTCAGAGAAATCTTTATCAAAAGACTAAACATCGGCAAACAATAAGTAGCTTTTCAAACCCTTAGAAGCTTTAAGACTTAGCCACAGTCATATAAAAAGCATTTTACATTAAACTACAACTGTATGCTGGGTAATACTGACTGCAGAAGAAATATCTTTCTTTAGGCCATCTGGATTTCTCTTCTTCCTCTGAACAACAATAATAACAAAAAGAAAGTTTGAAATGTTTATGGTGTATAAGCTGTAACTAATGCCAAAGAGGGCTTTCTGAACTAAAAAATTAAACCAAATCATATACAAGGTACAAAGATAACATGTAAGTCAGGGATTTTAAAGCTGAACAATATGGTTTCCTTGTTATGAAAATCACTAAGTTATGCTGTTGAAAATTATTAATTTGATCACAATTTATGCTACAAACACATTTTGCTATTATTAATATAAACCAATGGTTATAAGTTTTTTTAATTTATTTTTTAGTTGTAGTTGGACACAATACCTTTATTTTATTCATTTATTTTTATGTGGTGCTGAGGATCGAACCCAGGGTCTTGCACATGCGAGGTGAGCGCTCTACTGCTGAGCCACAACCCCAGCCCTCTGAGTTTTAATTTGAAAAAATAGGTCAAGGAAAGTAACAGATCTAATGCACTCCTATACTAGTAGAATGAAGTATAGTCATAGTGTACAGTGTGTGTTGTGTGTGTGTGTGTTTCTTATCATTATGTCTTGGAGATCAGTTTATATCAAGTTATATGGAGCTGCCTAATTTAAGTAAGCAAGTTAGATGGAAAATTAAAACTATAATAAAGATTTCAGAATATTGGGTTGTGGTTCAGCAGTTGAGCACTAGTATGTGTGAGGCACAGGGTTTGATCCTCAGCACCAAATAAAAATGAAATAAAGACATTGTGTCCACCTAAAACTAAAAAAAAAAAAAAGATTTCAGAATATAACATCTAAGCAAAATAACAAAGGCTTTGAACCAGAAACAGATCATTAAAGATTCTGGGACATTTGATCTAGAGAATAGATAAGGGAATCATGATAGTTCTTTCAAATATTTACCATATTTTCTTGAGTATCATTATATCAAGACACACATCATTAATAAAATTGCCCAACTCAAACATAAAAATTTGAGCATTATGTTTCTTACATGAACTGCACCAAAGAGTAAGTAACCAGATACTAATTGTAACCAAACAATGGATGAGACATTCTTTTTAGAAAAATATTCCATTAATATATGAAAAATATTTGAAAACATTAGAATATCACCATTTTGCAACCACAATGAATTAACAGATCTGGTTTTAAATATCAGTAGCTGCTAATATCATAAAGAGAAAAGTAACTACACATTAGTTGTCTCATGATAAAAAAAAAAAAAAGAAAAGAAAAGAAAGAAAGAAAGAAATCACCTCTGGTATTGCCACATGGATCAAATCTAAGTCTGACTGAGCTGCAAAATCCAGTTGTCAATACTCAGGTACAACAAAGAGTAGAGCAACTTGCTGAATTGAATTAATAAGCATCAGTGAAATCTAGACTCCAGGGAATTTTATAGGTTAAATGGCCTGGATTCTGTCACTTGTAGATTTTCATTAAACTCAGAGGTACTTTACCACTGAGCTACATCTCCAACACTTGTTATTTTTTATTTTAAGACTTGTCTCACTAAGTTGCTTAGGGCATTGCTTAATTGCTGAGGCTGGCCTCAAACTTGCAATCCACCTGCCTCAGCCTCCTGATTTACTGGGTTTACAGGTGTGCACCAACATGCCCAGTTCACTTGTAGTTTAAAAGAATTAAAAGACACGAAAAAGACATACCATCAAAATAAAACAGGCAAGATTACATTATATGTCCAGGAATGAACATTTGAGTGATAAGACTGTGGGAATAAAAAGTCTGTTTTTTAACTGCTCAAGATGCCCAAAGGAAAGAAGGCCAAAGGGAAGAAGCAAGGGTAGTCATGAAGAAGCAGAAGGCCAAAAAGGTGATAGATAAATCTCTTGAGAAAGGGCTTAATAATTTTCGCACAGGTCAGGATATCCCAAATGGACCTCATTTGCTTTGTCAAAAGGTCCCACTCCATCTGATTACAGTGGCAAAGGGCTCTCCTCCATATATAGCTGAAAGTTGCTCCTGCAATTAACCAGTTCCCCCAGGCCTTGCACTGCCAAACAGGTACACAGCAGCTTCTGGAGGCCCATAAATACAGATCAGAGATAAAATAAGAGAAGGAGCAGAAAATATTGGCCTGGGCCAACTCAGTGAGACCCTGTCTCTAAAAAAAAAATACAAAATAGGGCTGGGGATATGGCTCAGTGATTGAGTGCCCCTAGGTTGGTCCCTGGTACTCCTCCCCCTGCCCCCCCACCCCGCAACCAAAAAAAGTAAAAGTTGGGTCATTTTAAAACACGAAAGCCAAATGTTCGCTGTGAGTGTGGATGCTGACTCATAATAGGTGGGGTGGGGGGTGGGAGGTCAAGGTACAGCAGATTGGACAGGGCAGAGTGGGGAGAGGGGAGGATGGGAATGGGAAAGACAGCAGAATGAATTGAACATAACTTCCCATGTTCATACATGAATACACGACCAGTGAAACTCCACATCATGTACAACCATAAGAATGGGAAGTTGGGGCTGGGGATGTGGCTCAAGCGGTAGCGCGCTCTCCTGGCATGCATGCGGCCCAGGTTCAATCCTCAGCACCACATACAAACAAAGATGTTGTGTCTGCCGAAAACTGAAAAATAAATATTAAAAAAAATTCTCTCTTCTTCTCTCTCTCTCCTCTCTCTAAAAAAAAATGGGAAGTTTATACTCCATGTATATATGATATTCAAAACACATTCTACTGTCATGTATAACTAAAATAAATAAATAAAAGTTTAAAAAATTTCAGTCATTTTAACTCTGTAAAATGTAAATAAAGCATGGCTATAAATGAAACTGTTAGCACAAGGTAAAGGTCAGCTTTCTTTTGAATTTACTCAGGGCAAAAGAATAAATAAATTTATCTTTATAGAAAAACTAATAAAGTTAAAAAGTATTACAAATAATATATATGATAACATAAAGCCCTGGGAAGACTCAGAAACCAAGAATCACTTGTGATACATAACTTCTGTTCAAATTAAGCTCAATCAGAAACGGATTTGGGGGCTAGAGGTATAGCTAAGTGATGAAGTGCTTGCCTAGCACTAGTAAGCCCCTGTATTTTTAATCACCAGTACCTGTCACCCCTGCAAAAAAAACTGGTGGGAACTGAAAAGACATATTAAACAACTGTTCATCATGAGTGTATGCTGAACTCAAATGCCTAATATCATAGGTATTATTATAATGAAATTGAAACTTTTTTTGTGTGTAGAAAAGCTACATAATAGCAGGTTGTGTTAATTACACAAAATCTTGACAGTAATCTGAAGTTTATGCTATCCTCAAAGTTACTCAGTTTTCTGGAAGTTATTTTTCCAAGAAAATTTATTCTCCCTTTACAACTTGACCTCATAAATCAGAAGTACTACAAAGAATATATGAGAAGACGAGCACTTAAAAGATCCATAAAGCAAGAATCAGTTTAGGTAGTTGAACTGAAAGAACTAAGGAAGAATATACTGGTCATTACACCGTTTAATTTCACATTCATAAGTACCTTTGGTTTAGAACATGATGGAAAATAGCAAAGAGGCAAACAGCTTAGAAGTGAATATGAACCATTTAAAATACATAATAAAACTGCATTGGTCTACTTTAGGATATAATTCCAATTAACATAAAATTTTGTTCCATACTTTTCTGTCTCTGAATCCTGATCGTTTCTTCTTTTTTTCTTCTGGATAAGGCTCAAGACAATTATCAGCAGCCTTTTTTTCATGGTTATAAACTTCCCCTTCATCTTTATTCTTCCCTTTATCATCAGTGTCATTCTTTAAGTTGTTTACAAATGGTGGAGATTCTGCATGGGCCCTGAATGTGCAAAAGAAAAATCTAGATTAATCATGAAGGTCCATTTATTAGCCAAACAAGCAGTCACAGATACAGTTCAGCAGGAGCAACAGCAATGAAATTTGTCAAAAATTCTACATGAAGAAGTTCCTCAAGAAACTAACAGTAGATCTACCATTTGACCCTGCAATTCTATTTCCAGTTACATATCAAAACAACCAAAATCAGGATCTCAAGTGATAACTGTACACTCAGGTTCATAGCAGCACTATTTATAGTACTTAAAACATGGAAGCAACCCAATTGTCAATTCGTGGATAAATGGATAAACAAAATGTGTGTGTATGTGTGTGTGTGTGAGTGTGTGTATTTGTGTACAATGGAATATTATTCAGCGTTTAAAAAGGAAATTCTGTCACATGCAACAAGAATGAATTGAAGATGTTAAGTGAAATAAGCCAGAAACAAAAAGACAAATAATGTACAATGCTACTTACATGAGTTACTTAGAGTAGTTAAATTCATAGAAATGGAAAAGAGAATGGTGATTACTAGGGGCTGAGGAAGAACAGGAAAGTTATTTAAAAAAACCTGTTTCACAATGAATATACTTCCAATCAAAGTATATACTTAAGAATGGTTCTATGATGGTAAATTTTATGTTATTGTTTCTCTTACTACAGTTACACAAGTACTTTAAGAAGAAATGGAAACCTACAAGAATAAAAACAATCTCTAACACACACACACACACACACACACACACAATTCTACATGAAGACAACTGATCTGCTAGATTTTTGAGATCCATTCAATTATCAACAGCAAGCAAAAACTGAATGTCAGTAGAAGATACATTGGCAATTAAATCGCCAACATAGCCTAAAAAATTTTTCCAAACAACTTTAGTCAAGGTATGGCTTCATTCCTTCAAACTCAAACAGCTCTTTGTGGGAAGCTACACTAAATGACCACACCATCCAGTCTTGATGCCTCTGGCTCTGACCAACCACTCCATTCATTGTGGCTTGGTTGGAGACGCACTCAGACAGAAAGGAGGTCTTCTTTGTGGGTGTACCCCTAGGGTTGAGTTACACCTGTTCTCTTGTAGTCCTGCCCTTTCATGGACAGAACTTTCTTTCTAAGAACAGAGTCCTCCCAGTAAAGGCTGACTTCTGAATGTGTTTGTTCCTTCCTCTCTCCCCTCCCGTCCACTCCACTCCTCTTCCTTTTCTCCTCCCTTCCTCCCCCTCCCCCTCCCTCCCTCCTCCCTTCTCTATATCTCGAGCCCCCCTTTCTCTCATCAGCCTCTAGTGACTTTCTCTTGCTCTCCCTTTTGGGGAGCCAGAGGCATACAGCCAGGAAAGCCATCCTGAAGCTGTGTAAAGGTAAATTGTTTAAGAAGAGAAGATCGTCTTTTTATACACCATTGCATTTATTGGTTCTGCAATACTCAATTATTTTATTTTTTCTGGCTTTTTAATTAATTTTTTATTCATATATGACAGCAGAATGCATTACAATTCTTTTTTTAAATTAATTTTTTAAATTTATATATGACAGCAGAGTGCATTGCAATTCTTATTACACATATAGAGTACAATTTTTCATATCTCTGGTTGTATACAAAGTATATTCACACTAATTCGTGTCTTCATAGATGTACTTTGAATAATAATGTCATCACATTCCAACATCATTTATAACCCCATGCCCCCATCCTTCCCCTCCAACCCCTCTGCCCTATCTAGAGTTTGTCTATTCCTCCCATGCTCTCACTCCCTATCCCACTATGACTCAGCCTCCTTGTATCAAGGAAAACATTCAGCATTTGGTTTTTGGGGATTGGCTAACTTCATTTAGCATTATCTCTCCCAATTCCATCCATTTACCTGAAAATGCCATGATTTTATTCTCTTTTATTGCTGAGTAATATTCCATTGTGCATACAGGCCTCATATTTTTTAATCCATTCATCTATTGAAGGGCATCTAGGTTGGGTCCACTGTTTAGCTATTGTGAATTATGCTGCTATAAACATTGATGTGGCTGTGTCCCTGTAGTATGCTGTTTTTATGTTTTAGTATGGGAATGGTGGTTCCATTTCCAATTTTCCAAGAAATCTCCATAACTGATTTCCATATTGGCTGCACCAATTTGTAGTACCACCAGCAATGTATGAGTGTACCTTTTCCCCCACATCCTCACCAACACTTATTGTTGTTTATATTCTTAATAGCTGCCATTCTGACTAGAGTGAGATGAAATCTTAGAGTGGTGTTGATTTGCATTTCTCTAATTGCTAGTGATGATGAACATTTTTTCACGTATTTGTTGATTGACTGTATGTCATTTTCTTAGAAGTGTCTGTTTAGGTCCTTGGCCCATTTATTGATTGGGTCATCTGTTTTGGAGGGTGTTTAACTTTTTGAGTTCTTTATATACCCTAGAGGTTAGTGCTCCATCTGATGTGTGAGTGGTAAAGATTTGCTCCCAAGATGTAGGCTCTCGGGGCTGAGGCTGTAGCTCACTGGTAAAGCGCCAGCCTCGCGTATGTGAGGCACTGAGTTCAATCCTCAGCACCACATAAAAATAAATAAAGGTACTTTGTGTTCATCTACAACTAAATAAATATTTTTTCAAAAAAAGATGTAGGGGGCTGGGGATGTGGCTCAAGTTGTAGTGTGTTCACCTGGCATGCGCGCGGCGCTGGGTTCGATCCTCAGCACCACATAAAAATAAAATAAAGATATTGTGTCCACCAAAAACTAAAAAATAAATATTAAAAAATTCTCTCTTTTTTTTAAAAAAAAGATGTAGGCTCTCTATTCATCTCATAGATTGTTTCTTTTGCCAAGAAGAGACTTTTTATTTTGAGTTCATCCCATTTATTGATTCTTGATTTTAATTCTGGTGCCAAAGAAGTCTTATTAAGGAAGTTGGGGCCTAATCCCACATGATGGAGATTAGGGCTTACTTTTTCTTCTATTAGATGCAGGGTCTCTGGTTGTATTCCTAAGTCATTGATCCATTTTGAGTTGAGTTTTGTGCATGGTGAGAGATAGGGGTTTAATTTCATTTTGTTTCATATGGATAGAGATACTACCCTGCATTATCTCTAAAAAGAGAGCTGAATTGATATAGAGGTCAAATATCAAGAACTGCTTTTACTCAAAATCAGCCTGAAGTGTTATCATTAATTTTGATTATAGCATGGTGTATATTATCTTTGGGCACTTTTAGATTCAATCAAGGCCTTTCCTATATATTTTAAAGGATATTTTCAGAAAAGCTAGCTATTTGGAAGTGAGCAGAACTGATCTAAAAAATTAGTATACTAAAATCAGTCAACTTACGATTGTGATTATACAAGCTAGATTCCAATTTACAAGGTATTTAAAGTGAAATAATCTTCAGAAAGAAGGTGTCATTTATTTCAATTAGTTTCCTGCAAACATTGTGAAACATGATTACACTTGACTATATTGTAGAATATGATTTATTTGTGAATCTTTAGTTTTTCTTTTTCACATAAAGCAGTAAAAAGTTCCCACTATATATTAAAAAAAAAACAACTTCTTATAGTATGCAAGCATCAAATTTTTTAAGCAAAGTCACACCAAAGTAGAAATATAAAAGCATTAGCTGTCATAGTCACAGCATTGGTACTGTACTGCACTACAGAAGTAAGCTACATGGAAAAGATTTGGGGAAACATATTAGTACAACCACTACAGAAATCAGTGCGGAGGTTCCTCAAAAACCATCATATGACCCAGCTTTACCACTCCTCCATATGTATTCTAAAGAATTAAAGTCAAGGGGCTGGGGTTGTGGCTCAGCAGTAGAGCACTCGCCTAGCACATACAAGATGCTGGGTTTGATCCTCAGCACCACATAAAAATAAATAAAAATAAAGGTATTGTGTCCATCTACAACTAAAAATTTTTTTTTTAAAAAAGAATTAAAGTCAACATACTATAGCAATACACATATACCTATGTTTATAAGCAGCACAATTTACAATAACCAAATTATGGAACCAGTCTAGATGTCCATCAGTAAAAAATAGAAATTGTACTATATAGAGTTTTATGGTTGAATAATATTCCAATGTGTATATATCATATTGTCTTTATCCATTCATCTGTTGGTTCCATAACTTAGCCATTGTGAACTGAGCTGCTATAAACATTGATATGGTTGCATTACTATAGTATGCTGATTTTAAGTCCTTTGGGTAGGAAATTATATAACATTTAAGGTAGGATATGACTAGTTCAAGATGTATGCTAAATTCTACAGCAGGAACTGGCAAACTATGACCCACAGGTCAAATCCAGTCCCTTATTTGTTTTTGTAAGGCCCCTGGTTTCTACACTCTTAAATAACTAGAATAAAAAGAAAAATAATAGTTTGTGATAAAAAAGATTATATGGGCTGGAGTTGTGGCTCAGCAGTAGAGCGCTCAGCTAGCAAGTGCAAGGCCCTGGGTTCAATCCTCAGCACCATATAAAAATAAATAAATAAATAAAATAAAGGTATTGTGTCCAACTACAACTAAAAAATAAATTAAAAAAAAAAGATTATATGGAATTCAAATTTCAGTGCCCATAAAAGTTTTACTTGAACATGGCTACATTCATTCATTCCTTATTTATTTTTCAGCACCAAAAATCAAACCCAAGGCCTTGCACATGTTAGGCAAGTGCCCTACCACTAAATTACATCCCCAGCAACATTCTCCCTTTTTTAAAAACTTTATTTTGGAGACAGGGTCTAGCTAAATTGCCCAGGCTGGCCATGAATGTACCATCCTATTGCCTTAGCTTTCTAAAGAGCTGTGACTACAGGCATGCACCATCAACACATTATGCTCATTCATTTCCGTGTTGTCTATGGCTGCTTTTGCTCTATATAGCAGTAGCAACAGAGACTTTATAAACTGTGCCATCTAAAACACTCACTATCTGGATCCTATGGAAAGTGTTTGCCAATCTTGCTTTAGAATAATCACATGGAAGGGGTCGGAGGGAGGGAGGGAGAGAGAGAGAAGGAAAAAGCAAAAGAATGATCAGAGCACACTATATACATGTATGGAAATAATAAACTGGGTGCAGTGGTCATCCCAGCTAGTCAGGAGACTGAGGGAAGAAGACTATGAATTTAAAATCAGCCTGGGCAACAGAGCGAGATCCTGTCTCAAAATAAATAAATAAATAAAACAAATAAAAGGGTTTTTTTTTTTATTTCCCCCTCCAAAACAATAAAATGAGAGAAGACAGAAATAAAGAAGAGAGAAGCAAAGAGGTAATAAACTCAGTATCCTAAATAATTAAGTAAAAGAAGTAAAGAGTAGTGTCAACAAATAGAAAACAAATGTCAGGATGGAAGATTTAAATGAAACCCATTTCAGCAATTATGTGAAGTGAAAATGGTCTAAACACCTCAAATAAAAGACAGAGGTTATCAGACTTACACAAAAAGTAAAGCCCATTATAAGCTGTTTTTGAGAAAGTAAGTTTAAATACAAAGACAGAAATAAGATATGCCATACAAACCCAAATTAAAAGAAATCTGGAGTGGTTGGATTAATATGAGACAAAGTAGATTTCAGAACAAAGAATATTACCAGAAACAAAATGAAATGTTTCTAATGTTAATTGGGTCAATTCTTCAAGGAAATATAACAACCTTAAATAGGAATATACATAATAAAAGAGCTTCAAAAGAAATGTAGCAAAAACTTACAAAAACTATATTTGAAGGTTTATAAGTTCTCTCATCCACAAAATTAGAGAAAGCATATGGAGTAAGACTCTTTAGAGTCAGAAGGGAAGCACAATCTGCTCAAATATTTATAGCATAACCGTATAATTTAAGCCACTCCCTATAAGGCCATGGGAATTACAATCTCCACTGCCATTTATAGTGGTAGACTTTTCACTTCCAGAGAACCTTGGGAAGGACTGCAGTAAAATTCAAAAGTCATACTGCATTACAAGAAAAATTAAGACGAAATGCTAAAGTCCAGGAGCTAAAAGACAAGGGTGAATGGATCATCTTTCAGATAGATGCATTTGAATTTTTCTTGATTCAAAGAAAGAAAACAAAGCAAACTGAAAAGGTTATTTTTTAAAAAGAACTTTAAACTTCATTTCTTATTGAGAAAAAAAATTCCTGCTCATAGTTTCTATATGGTATAACAGAGGCATAAGACTAACAATCTTACAGTAGTAAAACCCTAGTGCTAGGTATATTTATGATCTTGAAACATTTATAAAGTTAGAATCTGTAACAAAGACATGTATTAGAAAAGTTCTAATATTATCGATACGTTGTCAATATACAGATTTTTTGCTTTTGGATATTTAAACTCAAAAATTATAAATATCATACCAACAAAATGTAGGTTTGTTTCCTTTATGTAATATTTCAAACTACCCTCTTTTAAAAAAAATTTTTAGCTGCTGATGGACCTTTTTATTTTATTTGCTTATTTATATGTGGTACTGGGGAATCAAACACAGTGCCTCACATATATGAGGCAAGTGCTCTACCACTGAGCTACAACTCCAGCCCCCCTTCTTATTTATTTATTTTTTTTATAGAACAGCAGTGGGAATAACTAACGTGGGGGAGAAGCTACTGAAAGATCATAATACCAATTAAAAATAATGATGTGTCTAAAACAATAAACTATAGGAAACACAAGAGAAAATCTTTACATTTGGGGACAGGCAAAGATTTTCTAGACAGGAAACATATAAAAAAAATGATAAACTGAACTTGGTCAAAATTAAAAGCTTCTGCTCTTTGAAAGGCATCATGAAGGAAATGAAAATGCAAGCCATTCACTATGAGAACACATTTATAATAAATATCTGCCAAAGGTTATATCCAAACTACATAAAGATCTTACAGCTCAATAAGAAGGAAAACCATTCAATTTTTTAGTGGGCAATTCAAACACATACTTTATAAAAGAGGGCATCAGAAATGACCAGCAATTCCAAGAAAAGATGCTCAGCATCATTATCTATTGGGAAAATGTAAATCAAACCATGGTGAATTTCTACAACATTCTCTCTCTAGTATGGCTAAAAGACTGATAACACCAAAGACCAGTGAACAAATTAGTCTCATGAATTGCTGGTAGGAGTGTATAGATGTACCAAACCAGTGGAAAACTGACAGTTTTGAATGAAGTTCAACATATATTTGCCAAAATCTAGCAACTTCACTCATAAGTATCTAATTAAAAGAAATGAAGACTTATAAATGAGCTTCAATATAGTTTATTAATGAGAGCAAAAAATGCTGTAAACAACCCAAATGGCCTTCAACTGGTAAATGGATAACAAGTGGCAGCATATTCAAGCAAAGAAATACCATCCAATTATAATTAAGATCCAAATTTCTGATACATAGTATAAATTTCAAAAACATTAGGCTAAGTAAAAGAAGTTAGATCCAAAAGATACATTTTTTAATGATTTTACCTATATTAAGTTCTAGAAATACAGAACTGATCTATAAAAATCAGATAAGCAGTTGCCTAGAAGGTGCATAGTGTTGAGACTAGGAAGAGGCATGAGAGGACATTATGAGTAAATAGAAATGTTTTCTTTGTGTATGAGTGTAAGTGTGTGTTGCTGGGGATGAAACCGAGGGCCCTGTGCATGCTAAGCAAGCACTCTACCCACTGAGATATATCTCCAGTCCCTGGAAATATTCTATGTCTTGATTTGGGGGTAGTTGCACAATTATATACATTTGTCAAAACTTACTGAACTGAGCCAGGTGTGGTGACACATGCCTATAATCCTAGTGGCTTTGGAGGCTGAGGTAAGATTGTGAGTTCAAAGCCAACCTTAGCAATTTAGTGAGGCCCAAAGCAACTTAGTGAGATCCTGTCTTTTTTTTTTTTT